GTCTCGCGCGCTGGACACGAAAAGGTTGTGTGCTTTTTTTTTTTTTTTTTTTTTTTTTTTTAAATGCCCATATTTTGTGGAAGATTACGTTATTCAAATTCTGATGGCTCTAGGTACCGTTGTTTTATCACAATGTGAGAAACATACATACATTCATGCAGATTCTTCATTGTTTAATTTTTTAAAATATAAGACAGGGCGATAATATATGGTGGCAACAATCTGAAAAGTGATACAGCCTTTTAAAGTTTTCAACGCAAAATGCCAAAACGAAATTAATAGTCCTTCAAGGCAAATTGCCCCTTTGGACTAAAAATATCGGGTATCGTATTTCAACGGAAATATTCATTTTGACCGTTCATGAATCTATTTTAACTATCTTTTTTTGCATGACGTCTGTACCTAAAGTTAAAAGGAAGAAATATTTTTTTACAAAATGGATTGTAAAATGAATTTAAAATTGATTCAAAATAGATTTTTCTGTGACGTCTGTACGCATATACATGTAACCTCTACAAACGATATGTAGTTTCTTTAGTTTCTACAACTTTATGTAGTCTAGAATGGCAACAGTAAAAATAATAATATGTCTTAGAGTAATAATGTTGGTTTAGAACATCGATGTCTGGAAAGTACTAAATAATTTTCGCTAAAATACAGTAGTAAAAGTTATTCTTAAAAATAAATAAATAAATAAATAAATAAAAATAATAACGTTTATGATGCAGGAACCGCTTTCTCGTGATGATTAAATTAATGATTAAGTTTCTGTTCTACGCATATTCTTTTGCATCATTCAATGTTTTAAAATTATATTAGCTAATAAATAATTACTGTAGCCACTGTAATTACCGATGATTTACTGCTAAATAATTATCATTGTTTTATAATAGCATGACCATCTACTTTTTAAATTCTTTTTCCTGCTGAAATTTTAAAAAAAATTAAAAAGTAGATTTTTTTGACATCTACTTTTTAATTTTGTTTTCAGACGCAACCGAGAATTTATAAATATTGAACTTTCAAAGGAGTCTTATGATTTTGTCTAATAAAGTTAGACAAAATCATAAGACTCCACTTAAAATTTAGCATTTTAAAGTTTCTGAAGATGGCTTACTGTAGTACATAACATGAAAGGTATGGCAAAGAAGATAGCAAAACATGATTTTCATGAGAGATAATTTTCTTGTGTTTTATGATGGGTATCTCTAATGTAGGCGGGTGTATATGTGTGTATGTTCAGGTTGCATATTTCGAACATGAAGTAATTCAGAAATTGCTATTTGACAAATATTTCATACTATGTAATAGGAATATTATTGTTCTAGGTGCAATAACAACTTGAAAGCAGAAGGAAATGTGCAACTGAGTGTACATACATAAAAAATTGGATTCTAAACAGCTATTTTAGCAGAAATGGTTTATTTATTTGAAAAAATTTAACGGATTCTTAGCAAATAAAAGCAATGAATTGAATAATTATTAAATTTTTTTTTAGTTTTATACAACATTTTAGTTCTCATTTCAGCTTTCAAAAAGAATCTGATAATAAGTTTATTTACTTCAATTGACTCACCTGGCAGCTTACTCGATGTAATAACTCTAAGAAAACGTTTTTATTTTTTTTCTTAATGTTGAGTCTTGTCTTTACATCTTTAATGTTCAGATTTTTACAATTTGAATTCGAATCCTAATCTCTTGAAATTTTGATTACTGCATTTTGAATCTGCATGTATGTATGTTCCGTAAAAAAAGACGATACATACAGCATCAAATTTTGAATAACGTGGTCCTGCTCCCTCCGAAGTTATGCACCTAGAAACTCCAATTTCGAAATTGCTTTATTAATTATTTCATGTTTCGTAAAACTTCAATGATTTTATTAACAAACTCAACGATTTGAAAGCGAGCAGTGGCAAAACTGTTCGAAATAAATCATTCATCGCCAGCGCACTAGACAGTTGCCATTCAGAAAAATGTAAGATATTTAACTTTTAATTTAAAAACTCAGCTCTCTAAGAGAGGTAGAAAATAAAATTAAAAAAAAAAAAAAAAAAAAAAATCTGAAATGTTTCAGATTTTAAATTACGTCCAAAGGGGCGTTTTTTAACATTTTGTGTGTTACCTTTCTTTATTAAATATCATGTTCCTCGCACTTAAACCATAAGATCCAGTGCAACAGCAATATCGCAAAATAGTTTTAAAACGAGCATATCTTTAGAATTTTCCGATACAGAGACTCACGCGCTGGAGATAAAAATGTTTTTTCTGCACAACGTTGCCATTGCTCGCTTTTGAAATCCTTGAGTTTGTTAATCAAAAATTCGTCAAAGTTTTTAAAAAATAGGAAATCGATCAAAAACAATTTCAAATTTGGTCTTCCACATGCTCATATTCGTTGGAGGATTACGTTATTCAAAATTCGATGACTCTATGTACCGTTATTTTATGACAATGTGAGAAATATACATACATTTACGCAGATTTTCATTATTTAATTTCTTCAAATATAATGCAGGACTCTAACATTTTATGGCAACAGTTTGAAAAGTGAACCGACATTTATCCGTCCGACGCAAAATGCCAAAACGAAACTAATAGTCCTTCGGGATTCAAATCCCTTTGGACTAATAATTTTATTTTCCACAGCAACACATTGCTCCAGCTTGTCGCCATTCAGTAAAGTAGAAAATACTTTCAAATTTAATCTGGAAGGTTATTGAGTAATAAATTAAACGATTTAAAAACAATTAACACACTTAAGAATATTTTTTTCGGCTTTTTAATGTGATTGATTTAAATAAGCACGTATTAAAAATCATGAGATGCCTATTTAGAAATATTCAATATTTTTATGAAATTACTCTAGCTGGATTCATTAAAATTATTATATACTTTTTCTTTTTTTTATTCTTTCAGAATCGAAAAAAAGTGCAAAACATACAAACACGATTGGCATGTGGATTGAAAGCATTTTTCAACACATGCATACACCTGGAAAATCTTTGCGCAGCTGAATCAATTATTGTTTTGAATGTTAATAGAAAAGTCACAAAACAACATTCATCCGCAACAAACCAAAAAAAAAAAAAAAAAAAAAGATAAAAAAAAGATAAAAGGAAAAAATAAAGAATGACTAAATGAAACAAAAATAAAAAAGGAACAATCAGAGAAAGAGTGGCAGAGACCATACGCCGCTAAGAAAACAAATCAGGGTTAGGTATCATTTTGTGTTGAAATAATAAAGCAAAAGCAGAAGTTGATATAAAGTTTCAAGTATAGTACATCGGTTTCTAGGTTAAAACACTCAGTTTAAAAAATATATAGAATACTAAATACTTTCTTATACGAAGGAAGTATTGTAATCACGAAAAGTTTCAGGCAGCATATATCAACGAAAATATCCATTTTGACCGCTATCGAATGCAATTTAACGATGTTTTTGCGTAATATCTGTACGTAAGGACAGAGTAAAATACTCTTTTCCTTCAAAAAAAATTATAAAACTGCTTTAAAATGAATTCTGAAGAGAATTTTTCGTGGCGTCTGTACAAATGTATGTACGTACGTACGTACGTATCTCGCATAACTCAAAACGAGTAGCCTCAGAACGTTGAAATTTTGTATAAAGGACTGCTATAACATGTAGATGTGCACCTCGTATTTTGCTTGCAATCGGCCGCACCAAACGTATATAAATATATTTATATATATATCCACTCTGTTACCCGGCTCATTGATCTCAGTTTCTTTACTCTTATGTGTTTGTAAATTGTACATTTTTTGCCTTAAAAATGATTGAATTATGTATTTCTTGTCTTCCGGTTAAGGTTTTTATGCCCTTTAGTAAATCTGTATGCAATATTTTTAGAATTATCAACAATTTTAAAGTTGTTTAAGTGCCGCTAAGCCTGATAATTTTTTTGATGGCGGCCATTGCTTGTTTACATTTGAAACAACAGGATAGTGGATTTGTTGCCAGTCTAGAAAAACTTAGCTTCGCAAGAACAAAGATAACGCCTTCATTTATTATTGCGAATTAAATCATGCTTAATCCTTTCTGGAATTTTTTCGAGGAAATAAGCGTTTAAGATTTAATTTACTTCGTAATTTTTAATACAGATATTTTGAGTTTTTATGTATTTTTGCCTTGTCGCGAAGTGAAAACTGAATTAATTGAATGAGAAGTACTCAATCGCCTGTGAAAAACTGTTTCTTTTTTGTTTTGTTTGCTTAATTTCTTTTATACATCGTTCTAGCTTTATTATAGTATTTGAATAGAACATATGTCAACGATTCGATAATTCTTTAAATGATGTAAATTTTGTGCATTCTGAGTTATAATATGAACGAAATATAATACTGTTAAGTGAACCTAGCGCCAGAATGTCGCTATGGTAAACAAATGGAATTAATTTTAAAGAATGCATTTATTCTACTGTGGTTTATGTGCTGTTGAGAAGTAGATTTAATTCAGTCTAATACGTTTAAATGAAATGCAAGAAAAAATGCGTATAATTTACTATTCCATACAATGTACACATCAGATTTTTTTAATCTCGTGTTCAGATTTCTGTATGCAATTCATTTGCTGAAGGAAGTGTTTTATGTCGGGCTTTACAATATTTTTTTTTGTTTTGTTTTAAAAATTTAAGAAATTGTTGAACTGTTGTATTAAAATCGAATAAAAATTTCTGTTGTTATCATGCTTGTTATCATCTGCATAATTGGATTTCCCATTTCATAAGTAGAGTTTACTCGCGCTTGTATCTACTTATTTGAAATCATTATAATTTAATTACGTAATTCGTTTTTCTTAAATTATTAATTATTCTTAAATCGTTTTAATTTAAGATTAATTTGAAATCGTGAATTAACAAAATAACGTAACATTACTAATTAAGATTCATAATTAAACTGATTCCTTCGAAAAATATTTGATATGTAAAAAATTGTTCTATTAGATTAGACTTAGCGCTCATATTTTTATTCTCTTTCAGATATATTGTATATTAATTGCTGTACATACCTGAAGCAGAAAAGAATGTATTTATTAAAGAAAATCCGATGGTTTCATGTTGCTCTTCTTCTGTACTATCTAGAAGCTTCTTTTGCTACAAGAAGCAAGCGTCAGAGTAAGATATCTTTTTATTTGCTGCGTTTTTCATATATTTTCAATGACATTTCTAAACCATTTCGGGGAGGTTGTTTTTATTTCAAACGAATGCTGTATTTTTGAGAAAAGCTCGGCATTTTTATTCTTTTAATTTAACTAGTTTAGCTGAAATATTAATGAAATCTTTGAAAGAGAGGGTCCCCCCCCTTATACAGCTTTGCCGTTCTGTTTTACATTTGAAGTTAAAATTAGAATCATTTTTGTACCTGTTCTTATTTGAATTCAATTATCATTTTTAGCAAACTGAAATCTATTTGAATCATGAATTATGCGAATTTAATTTTAAAAGTTAATTTACTGACAAATTTTTATACTCAAGAAAGAAAGTTTGTTCACTATAGACTCAGAATACTTTACAAATAAAATTAAAAACATGCAAATTAATAAAATGCTAAACAAAATGCTTAAAAGTCAGAGTATTTAGTCTGTTAAGATAGGCCGTTGCTTAGCTAAAGTCGCCCAAAATGCCAAAATTAACATTATTTTATATACATTTACCTGTTGAAAAAGAATTAAAAGGAAGATATTTTTGTATGTCGTAAAGAAAAAGTTAAACATATCAATTAATATTGTGCAAGAGTTTTTCTAAAAAATTTTGCAGTTTAGGACTCCCTCAGAATATTTATTATCTCCATGGACCAACGTGTTGGCATTCAGTTAGGCGTAAAATAGTATTTAACTTTCAAATTTAATCCTTCTGTTACTGAGTAATAAACCATGTAACTGAAAAGCAAGAAATGCAGTTCTTAAAAATATTTTTTCTGCTTTTTAATCTAATTGATTTTATTTAAATCATAAAGTGTCTTATTAGAAATATTAAATATTTTTATGAAATGACACTAGCTTGGCTCATTAAAATCATCATATACTTCTTTTTTTATGATAACTCTTTTAAGCGGCTGGCCACCCGAGCGTTCAAAGATATAATACAGCGAATATATATATATAATTATGGTAATCCCTAACACTTAGCCATGAAACTTCATATCATTTATTTTGTCATTTAAACGTGTTCTCAAAGTTTGAATTTAAATCAGTAAAAGGCTTGGGAAAGGATATTAAATTTGTAAAAAAATTTATAACTAAGGAACTTTGTTTAGACTTTTGTAGACTCTATAGTTTTCTAAAATCAATATTAAAAAAAACATTATGCCTGTAGTTACGTTTTCGAACATCCTTTATAAAATGTCGTTGAATCTTCTACATCAGATTTAAATCTAAATGCAATATTGGTAATCTAGCTATCTAGAAAATTTTTGTATTTCCGTCTCCAAGAGTTAATTGTTCACCGACCTCAACTGTTTTATTAGCAGCAATCAGTCTCGAAGCCTGAGCACTAATTTAGACATTAGGTTATTGACATCGAGAGTTGATTACATAAAACATTAACATTTATTTAAACAAGTTTAGTTACGTGAACAACTCTGAAACATTTCCGAGCTATAAATGTTTTGTTGAAACAGTTTTTTTTTTCCGTTTCATTCACCTTTTGCATTACTATTGCACAGCACATTTATGTTGCAAAATTGCATACGAATCTGCGTGGAAACAGTGTATTTGAAATTCAGGTTATGTTTCAGATTAAGAACTATGTTACAAGAAAAAAGGGAAAGTGTAACTTGACCTGAAGAAAATATAGCATTATTGGGAGTTCTATGTGTGTGATAAAAATATGTGCAATGAATTTTCATGAATGCTTTTGATTATTTTACGATTCTGTAAAGTCGATATAGGCGAGATACTTACTATTCTTGAACTCTGTAAACTTACTTAAATAGTTTATGATTGAAGAATTTAATATCTAGGGGATGTATAAGCTAGTCCAACTGACATTTTAACATGAATATTTAATGAAGCATTAACAATTACTACACACCATGAAAATGGACGACAGGGACATGAATACTTATAAGAAAACTGTCACTGTGAAAGAAAGAAGAAAAAATATTTTTTCGTCTCTTGAACGCCGCAAGTATCATCGTTACGTCTCCTAGCTCTGCTGTTATGGCGATTTCGTCTGCGGTTTTTTTTTTTTTTTTTTTTTTTTTGCCCCGAAGTTCTATCAGGCAGCGTGCAACGCCATCTGTCGGTTGTGAAAGATGACATCCCACACATTACTATTCATCCTGTTGGTATGCGTCCTCGCATGCTGAAAATAAGATCGTCACCTGGGATCTGCAAAATAAAGATAAACAGAGAGAAAAAAAAAAGAATTCTAAGTTTCATTGAATTTTGAGTTTCGCTGAGTTTTGAATTTCACTGACTTTTGGCTTCGCTGAGTTTTCTCTTAGTTGTCGTCGTCGTGGAATTTCATCATTGTGGGCGTCTCATAACGTCATCGTCGTACAATCTCTCCTTCAGCGTCGTCTGGATGAGTCTATTTGAATTCGTCTTTATACATACGTCTTTTTAAACATCGTCCTGATACGTATTTTAAATGTGTCGTCTTAAACATCGTCTTCCTTAAGCAGTCTTTTTTAATACATTTCATCTTTAGATATCTTCTTCATTTTCCTTAAAATATTTCACGTCTTTAAAACAATAGTCCTCGAATCGAATCGCGAGAAATTTGTCAAGCCGGGAAAAAGTCTAAATCAGGAATCATCAGAATCAGTGTTGTATTATCAAAGTCTTTCGGTTTTTTTGGGGGGGTCTTCTGAAATCTGCTTTTTCGCTTCTTTAGTTTCTTTTGTTCCATCTTTGCTTTATGTATCAGCGTTTTTGTCTTCAAATTTTCTAAAAGACCTCTGCTTTTCCAGCCTTCTTCTCTTCTTCGGTGGTCTGTGCAGTTTCTTAATTTTCATTAGCTGTCTGCTGAAGGGATGTTACTGAAGTTTTTTCAGTGGAGTTAGCATTCGATTTATCATATTTAACAACTGATTCTTCCTCGGAGAAGTGCTTCTGTTCAGAATCGCCTTCTGCGATGGCATTTCTCCTCGGTGGCTTCGAATTTAAGTGTACTGTGTTTTCTTGAGTTTCATCTTGCACTAGTTTATCGTTTACAGCCTCCCTTTTATTCACCGGTCTGTAAAAACGTCATTTCTTAAGCAATAATCTTTGTCCTGAAAAATAACAATTACATAAAAATATTAGTTTGTCGGCCTACACAGCAGCGGCAATTAGCGATTTATTACCAAAATCGCTAATTGTGATTTACGATGTCAGCAGCATTTTCAATAGCAGTTGATGAGAGTACTGACATCACAGATATAGCACAGCTTGCCGTCTTCGTACGCGGTGTTACTGATGAATTTGAAGTAATTAAAGAGCATTGGGAAGTAATTCCTATGAAAGAAAAACTGTTGCACAGAATATTTTATTCTGAAATGAAAACTGTAATAGATAAATATAAATTAAATCGAAATAAAATGGTTGGATTTTTAGATGCAATGGTATGGAGTAAAATGGAATAGCGCTAACATAAGAAAAAGAGTACCAGCAAAATTAAGCAATATAGTTGGAGGTGCAAAAATGAATCTTTATACAACTGTTATTAGACCTATCATATTGTACGGTAGAGAATGCTGGCCATTAACAAAAACAGATAAAGAAAGACTTGTAATCTCTGAAGATACTGCGAAAAATGTATGGCCTAATTAGGGAAAATAATAGATGTAGAGTTTTGTTTAACAATGTTTTGTTTATCATGAAATATATAGATGATAAAAACAGCCTAATGTTGGCCAGGTTATCATATGTTATCGTTAGATGGCTTAAACATATTTTTAGATGTGAGAACTTGAACCCTGTTAAAAAAGGTGACCTTTGCAACAGTCCCGGATCTGGGGGGAGGGGGGAGCAAGCCGGGATCTGTGCCCCGGGTGGCAAATTCAAGCGTGGTGCTGGATCGTATTTGGAATGATGTCAAATTTTGATACAACATTAGTAGTTTTAAAACCAGGTTAAAAACCTATTTTAAGTACTCAGAAATTATAACTCGGTATTAATTACTCGGAAACCTTTTAATAGGACAAACAATTAAAAGTAAGCTAAGTAGGCTGAATACGACTCTAAAGATAAGATCAGAGAGAGGACAACAGAGGGATTACAGGCGTCACTCACAAAGTCAGACGACCCTGTCCCTTATTGGAAAATAAGAAATAAAGGTAAACTCGCCAAACAATTGAGTGGGGAATATTTACGGCACGAGAGAGACCTCTGGCATGCTAATATCCGGACGATCTTCCACACTTAGCAGCACGTCCTCTACAATTTATAACGTCCGCACACTCCTGCCACGCGCTGTCTCATGGATGCCGGTGACAAAGGATCTCGTTTCACTCAGGCACAGATGAAATCGCTTGAATACTTTTCAGTCTAGCACGTGTCTTCTTAGGAAAAGCTGCCTGTACAGTCTTTCGGCTTCCAGAACATTCCCGTTCGCAAGGCCATGCATAAAAATGCAAGGCCATGCATAAAAATGCCATGCATTCGCAAGGCTGTGCATAAAAATGCAAGGCCAGGCATAAAAATGCATGTCCGTCTTTTCCTGATTACTATACGTTGGCATGCCTTCTGAAATTTACGACAGAAATGACGATGTGTAAAAAAACTCGAGCTTTGTGCTTTCAAATACAACGCCGTCTAGCGGTTCACAGCTTGATCTCCGCCCATGCATTGTCTAGTGAAAATTGCTTGTTTATATGTTTTCTATGACCCCTTAAATTTTTGCCCATGAGTTCCGAAACACCCTGTATACCGAGGCACCACTGTACTTGGATTTTGTGATAGTTATGTTATGGCAATAATAGCAGCTATATTGCGTTTTGAATCTTAATGATCTGCATTTAATCTATATATATGTGTGTGTAAATGTTTATAATTTCTGCATTTTAGTTGTCTTTGAGGATGACAGACGCAACACCCGACCACAGAGCGCCGATTGCTGGACACCTGATCAACTTCCTGGTAGATGCATTCGCTTAACAAATTGCCAAGCTTTACGCTCTACAACGAACTATAACCGTCTACGACGTTATTTTTGTGGCTTCGAAGGAGAGGAACCGCGGGTTTGTTGCCCTCTTCCCAGAGAGGAAGTTCGCTTTATCCCTGGTACAACAACGACAAGGAGGCCCACACCCACCAGAAGAAGGACCACAACTAGACGACCCATCACCACAAGTCCTCCCAGGAGAATTACTACTCAACCTCCTGTGACCCCAGTAGTATTAGAAGAGAGAAGTTTTGACAAACCAAGCTTTCTTCCTAATGGTAAGTTCCGCATTCAGCAATATTAATAATTTTTCCTTAGATGTTATAATGTAGTACAAAGTCCGAAATCCGGACATCCAGTATAGAGAATGATCTAGTATCCAGACCTCATCACCCAGCCAATAAATAAATAAATATAAGAAAACAATAAAAATGACAATATAGTATAATCTTATATAATCTAGGAATGAAGAGTATAATACTCAACAAAAGGAAGCAGGTACAGCGACAAAAGAGTTCATTATGATGCAGTTGATTACTGCATCATTATGACTTTATGATGCAGTTGGGGGCAAACGACCAAATCTCTGTATGGCGAAAAACTGACAGTTGCATCACGGCAATGCTCCAGCGCATTCATCACACTTGATCTAGACTTTCTTGACGAGACATGGAATTTAACTCGTTCACAAACCTTCCTACTCTTCAGACATGGCTCTTTCCGATTTCTGATTGTTTCGGAAATTGGAGAGGACTCTCCATATTGTGACTAGAGAAATAATGCAGACGGCGACGGCATAGATGAATACCATTCTAAAAGAAGCCTTCCAAAATTGTTTTTGGCATTTTAAGGATTGGTGGTTAAAGTGTGTGGAGGCTCAAGAGGTTACTTTGAAGGGATTTAGAGCCTCAATCCTGTCACACGAGTAATATATTTTTCCCGGCGAAAGGTCGGATACTTTTTAGAAAGCACTCATATGTCTGGCTTTTTTTAACTGAAAACATTGCCTCTGAGTTACGTTTTATATGCAGCATCTTCACTATTAAAAAGCAAGAGAAACTTTATATTCTACTCAACCGTCGACAGACATGGAATTGCTTTTTAATATATTAGCATCTAGAAATTCTACTTAACTTTTATTTTTTTTCAAATAGTGAAGAATAGAATAATGTCAGGGAATAATGTTCTAAATTACTATATTTAAATTAAATTCATTGTTTGGTTTTTAAATTTGATACCTTGCTAAAAAGAAACGAAGCAGCTGCTCAAATGTATTCATGTCTCTCGTCCATTTCGGCCGCACCTCCATACATAAAATGCATCTCAATGTGTTTCACATTTGTATAACTATATATACTGCTCGATATTTACACGGGCAATAATGATTAACGCTAGCCAAATGCGTTTGCCTCCCGTTCAACAACGCGGCGTACCATCTCAATGCACCATTTCTTCTGCACACATTCCATTACAAAATCTGCTAGTTTCGTTTCCCTATACCTTCCTTTACGTTTTTTTCAAATATTGTTGAATCATATTATTTAATATTGTAAGGCATTTTCTCTGTCCTTACCGCGCGCCTTCGTGGTATAATTGGAAGGCACGTTCGGCTAGCATCAGAAGGTCCGGAATTCGACTTCCGACGAGGTTATAGCACATTTTTCATGTATCCTGCTCCAAAATAAAAAAAAAAAACTTCTATTAAGCTGTACAATACGAGCCTTCAGTTCTATGCCTAGAACTTTCATGGTGTATTGAATTAGCAAAATAATGTGTAGCGGTTTCATTTTACAGAAACGTTTCGTAATTCAGATTTCAGCCTGCACCATGTAATGTTATTAATAGAATCAGCAGACTGCATTGTATTCGGAGTGCTCTGAATATCCCCATTCACATAGGAATGCCCTCAGTGGTATTAGCGTTAAACTCCGTAGTCAGCATAGAAACTTGCCAGATCCTAGAGTATGTTCCAGATACTTCTTAAGTTAGGCACTTCTTCTGCCTGCATTTTTTTTGCACTTGATAAGGCGTCTTCATCATAAACTACTCGTATTATAATCATTTGGTGGATTATTATTAAGGTTTCTTTCAAAGATAATTCAAAAGTCGTTTCTTGCTTCTCGAAATTCATACCAGTTAGTAGAAATATGTTTGAAGTTTACATGATCTAATTCAAAGAATTACTAGAGTCTTGTAAAAACGGATCATCACGTAATTGAAATTAATAGTGAGCCGTGTTTTTAAAATAATTTTGGTTTGGAACTATTGCCTCAGTCTTCTCTAATTCCCTCGTATAATACAAGTAGTAGGAAGAAGTTTTCAATTGCCTCTTATAATAGTATGTTTTCGATCTGTTTTAGTTTAGCATTTACATTAGTGTAGTGTTACCTTATGAACTGTATTTATTCTTTCAGACTGTGGCACAACGAGGCACACGACAACTAGAATAGTTAATGGACGAGAGGCAGATAAAGGAAGCTGGCCGTGGATGGTGAGTGTATTACTGTTATGTGGAATTGATTCACAAGCATATAAGGCATTGTTCTGTCAACCGTGTATGTTGATCATGTTTTTTTTTTCTCCTTTTTTTTTCTTTCTAACTCCCCTTCACAGATTTGTCGTTTGTAATTACTTTGTATTTATAGTTCACAAAGAACTTTAGAGTAATTTAAATTGAAAATCTCTGTTAGGGATCTCTGATCGGAAGTTGAATCTCCCAGAGCAGGAAAATTATCCATTACAGAACAGATTTCAAAGAATAAAACTAGTGTTATGTCATTGCAGTCTAATTTCAAATTCTTTTTCATGTCGGTTTTGAGAAAATAAATCTTTCTGGTCAGTGTTAGACAGTTTCTGGTACGTGTCTACAGTTACTCCTATAATGCATATACTTTAGCAAAAGGTATACATAGGCTATGTTTGCCAGCCGTCAGCCTATATGCATAGGTATGAGACGTAATGCTTTCGGTTTAAAAATTCAAAGTAAATTTTCAGTGAATAAGCACAAATTAGGTTTCACACAACACGTTTTTACTATTTCACAATGATATCTGTCTTTTGTCTATAAAGATTATTTCATCCATGATATTAAACTTCTAAAAATTTTTCAGAAAATTATTTTTTTTTTCTCACAATGCGAGGAACATGCAAACACACATACATACAAAGTCTTCATTATTTAATAATTCAGATAAATTTCTTCCTGATACCAGCAGCAATTGTGGTCTTACTGCTAATCAATGCATTGTTTCCCAGTGTTTATAAATACGGTTATTTGAAACATACTAATTGACAATTCTTATAGTTTTCAAGCTCTAAAATAAAAGAGTTATATTTAAGTAAGAAGTTCCAAATATATCAGAAAAATGTAAATTATATTCTTGAATGTGTTAAACATTCTATTTACTACACTTCGTTATACGTTACATTATATTTTAATTACAAAGGTACGAAATAAGTTTGCATGTCTCTTGATTTCTTACCTCCGCCAGTTTATATGCGTAGGAAACGAAGGTAACGTTTCCGGTCCCTGTATTCGAGAGAAGTTTTCAGCAAATAAGCGCAACACATTTTTACTGTTTCTACGATGATGTCTGTCTGTGTGTCTGACGATTTTTTTTCGCCCACAGTATCTTTTATATCATATAATATAAAAAAGTTTTCAGATTTTATATTACGCCCAAAGAGGCTTTTTTAACTTTTTGTGTGTTACCTTTATTTATTAAATATCATGTTCTTCGCACTTAAACCATAAAATTCAAGTTAAAATTCAATTCAACAGCAATATCACAAATTAATTTAAAAAGAGCATATCTTTAGAAATTCCGATACACAGTCTCACGCGCTAGAGATGATTTTTTTTTTCGTACAGTGTTGCCATTGTTCGCTTTGAAATCATTGAGTTTCTTAATCAAAAACTCAAAACTGCTTCACAAAATATGAAACAGGTAATAAAACAAATTCCAAATTCGGGCTTCCAGATGCCCATATTCGGGTGGAGACGTACGTTATTCAAAATTTGATGACTCTAGGTACCGTTGTTTTATCACAGTGCGAGAAAAAATACATTTATAGAGATTCTTCATTATTTAATTTATTTACTTGGCGATAATATTTGGTAGCAACAATTTGAAAAGTGAAACGCCACAAAATGCCAAAAAGAAATCAATAGCCCTTCTGGGATAACGCCCTTTAGGCTAATAATCCAAAACTTTTCTTTCTTAGGACTTAAGAGTTTTATATGAATCTGAACAAGAAGTTAGATCTAGGCGAAAATGGATAAAACGGACGTCATACTTTACTTGAAGTTCCTAATAAATTTTTGTGAAAGAATATTGTGATACAATCCAAAACTTCTCAGATTTGGCATTTAAAATACCTATATGATTGAGAACGTATTAGATTTTGACTTATGTGATAAACCGGAATCATGTATTCTTGATCGTAGTATATTCTCTGGGAATATAGTGCTTAGGATAACAATCATAAAATTAACACAGCATATCTTTAGAACTCCCGATTAGAGTGTTAAGTTATACATTTCTTTCGGTCTTTCCTCTGTTTATTATGTCAATGTTCAGCTTTGTTAATATGATTACCAACTTTTTTATTTGTCATTTTAGAGTCATCATTTTAGATGTTGTCATTAAAATCATTTTCTTCACACTTACGCCACACAAAATTAAAGAATAAAATTTTTAAAAGCAGCGTATCTGAGCTCCTTAGTGTTGACTTACATATTTTTCATATTCATTATATTATTTATATTTCTTAAAAATAATACATAGCGATAACATTTGGTGGCAGCATCCATTTATTTGAAAAGTGATTCGACACAAAAGAGAAATGGACACAAGACTGAGAACAAAGATTAATAGCCAAAATTTAATCCGAAATAAATATAAAATCCAAAATTTCCTATTACAGATGTTTTTTATTTATTGGAACAAATTATTAGACTTTATTTACAAAGCTGTCAAACGGAGTGATAGTTTAGTTAAAGCTGGTTGCTATATAAAACATAGAATTGGAGGTTGTAACGAATAACGCATATTTTCATACCCTCCTCGCAGAACTGTATGATGATAACCAATTATTCATAGCCGTTTTAACTTCTCCACCAGCTTCTCCGGTTGCTTAATAATTTTGCAAATATTCTTGAACAATCTCTACCTTTTCCGAGCCGAATGGTCGCTCAATGTTCTAAAACATTTTAATCTCTTGCTTTGAAACGTACAGACTGACGCCATAAATGCGAATAGTCTCGGATTCTTTGCCAAGAACGTTGAGAGGAGCCTGTATTTTCTTCATACGCAAAATTTCAAACGATATTCACAAATGGGTCTTGCTTAATAGCCTTTATTTTGTACGCCTATGCATTATCTTATGGACCCATGAAACTGCATTAGCTGTATTTCTTAAAACCATTTATAAAGATCTATATATATATTGTTTAGTCATTAGGTATTTTTAGAAGCAGGCAAGATGAAAAATGAGCAACGCCTTCGCCGGGAATTGAACCACGGAATTCTAGAAAACCTGCCCAGCGTGCAGAACCACTACACCACGCAGGCAAGCTAAAAAGGCGGGAGAAACTCCTTATATACTCATCCAACACCCTTTTAGTTCGGGCGCCACTGTAGAGACATTAGGATTTTTTGGAAGCAGAAGAGTTGAAAAATGAGCCATGCCCTCGCCGGGAATCGAACCACGGGCGTGCAGACCACTATATCACGAAGGCACGCTAAGAAGGCAGGAGTTAATACCTTATAATATTAAAGCAAAAAAAAAAAAAATGTATGTTTATATTTCTGTGTAATTTATACAAATCTAAAGTTCTATTCTGATTCTGATGAAATTTCGCGCACTTGACCTTTTAACCAAGAGGAATTACTGTTTCCTTAAGGTTTCGAAAAGCCATCCCACGGGATACCCATTTGGGCCTTTAACGCCGTTGGTGAGACATGGGCACGAGCCTATGAGCCTGAATTAAAGCGTCAATCAAATGAATGGCGTCACCAAATTTCGACGCGTCCACAGAAATTTCGGCAGGAATCCAGTCGGGTGAAGGTTATGCTGATTGTGGCATACGAATGGGACGGTGTGATTCTTACACATGCTGTACCTAAAGGACAAACTGTCAACGCAGATTACTATTGCCGATTTCTACAGCACCATCTGCGTCCGGCTATGCGGCGCAAACGTTCACGTTTATTGCACAACAATCTCCCTATCGTATTGCATGACAACGCTCGTTGCCATGCCGCAAATAATGTCATTCTCCTTTTGCGACGGTGGCAGTGGGAAATCCTGGAACACCCTCGCTACTCACCCGACATGAGTCCTTGTGACTTCGATCTGTTTCCGCAGTCGAAGGAGCCCCTCCGAGGTCACCGATTTCATGACGTTTCATCTGTACTCCACGCAGTAGGGCGCTCGGTCGCTTACATCAACAATCAACATCTTGCCACTGGTCTACAACGGCTTCCCGACATTTGGCAAAAGGTTATAAGCTTTGCTGGTGATTACATAGAAGGAATGTAATGCAAATGTACTTGTAAGTTCATTAAAAACTGATTTATACCTATGTTGCCATTACTTAATTTACAGCCCTCGTATATTAGAAAATTGCGCTCAAGTCAGCCGTCTCAGATTCAAGTCGTCGTTGTTGCGTTCCAACTATCATTGGAAGTTATACATGCTAAGCAAGAAACTTATAATAGTTTTTTTTGACAAAACGTAAATATTCATATTCCTAGACAGTTTGAATTTTGAACTCACGTCACCTATCTTAAGTTCATATCGCCGTAACTGTGTTCCCGCTTTCAGTTTTGACTAAAATTATTAGAGGATATCGTGTTCGCTTGCACTTTACATCAGTATAGAAGCTTTAAGCAGATTTTAAGTGCCTTCTGTATCAGATTTTGCGGAATATTTCGAAAACCCCGAAGAAATCGGTCAAAATGGATAGGGATTTTTCGGAAGTTCATTTCCCCAAAAAAGACATATACAATAACAAAACAAGTACCTGCACTTACTAATCGTTATATGGCGCCGTGTTCGTTTTACACTATTTCTACTGTTTTAGCTTGGCAAAATTTTGCGAGGTAAAACATTTAACGGTTCACTTTGAACCAAAATAAGAGAAAAATCACTATGTATCTGAGATTTCCATAAAACCATCTCCCTAAATGAAGCCTCTTCACTCTGCGTAAAGCCTCAGAAACGCTAGGGGCTTCTGCTAGTTCAGTATATAAATAGTTAGACACAAGTAAAAGACATACAGATATTTTCATTTAAGCAAGATCATTTAAGCATTTAGTGATAAAAGAAATTATTTAAATTTTGCAACAATTACGCAATCAAAAGTGATTCTGAATATTCTTTACGGTTTCTAAATATCCAGCAAAAGAAAGTCATTACAAAAATTGGCTTGCTTTTGCTGCTGTACGAGATTTATCCCTTTATTCTTATTTTCTCTGAAAATATTTTTTTCTCTTTTAGGCTGTCGTCTTTGTAGAGAGAAGGAATGGTAACAAAAGCCCTGACTGCGGTGGCTCCCTAGTCACCAACAGGCATGTAATCACAGCTGCCCATTGTGTTGTAACCGGAAGAGGCAACACCCCGTAAGTCCTTTTGATCTCTACAGATCCAATCCTTTTGCTCTCTACAGAATTCAAATTCTGTATAATAAAGTCGTAAAAGGCCATACTCACTGGGATTTATCTGAGCTATCAGAGTTAGTTCCATATGTCGACTAGCTCCGTAATGCCTGCAGCTCGGATTTTTCAACTTGCTGCTGTATGGAAAAAAAACTGGTTTTGGAGATGGGTCGGCTACGTCAGTTGTCCTTGTTAGCTCAGATAAACCCCAGTCGGAACGGCCCTTAAATATTACTACAGTCAATTTTGTAAAAATAACATTATTTGAAACGGAGAAGCTGTGCATTGTTATGAGACTGACTAAAAACGATTGCGTTGTATTCTGGTTTACTATATTTTCTGAAGAGCTTACGTGGATTTCATTCATGTACACTGTGGCCTTCAAACGAACTCCGGAACCCTTAAAACTACAATATTTCTTGGGGTACCCCATCCCATTCTCAGAAAAAATCTATCTTAAGATAACATTTAAAGCACATCAATATGTTATACTAGGTACTCTTGTAAGGATCTTAAGTTTTACTAACGTTTATTTTATTTTAAATCTTTACTATCACTTCTTATTTTCTACTTCCGGCCAGAATTATAAGCGTGAAGGTTTTTATGCAAAGTTTGTCTGGCGAACGCCAAGTATTTAAGTGTGGCCTTTTTGCCAAGCGAAAGAGAGGAAGCAGTGAGTTCGAAGCAGGCCGCTTACCTTAGAAGTTACGCAGTTGCTATTTGCCTTCCAGGCCAGAGGTTTTAATCCTCTTGATAAATTAAACGTATTGTAGTGTTCACAGTCTCTGTGCTACATACGCTTCCTGTTATTATAAGGCCAATCTTCCACGTGTATTATTCTAAAGTTAAATTAGAGTTTAGTTTTATTTTTTATACTTTTTTACGTTAGACCCCGAGTGGAGGGTCAGTGTATTCCGAAGTACGGAAGTTATTGTATATAGAGAAAAATAAAGGGTTTTATTTTTCTCTATATAATAGAGAAAAATAAACCTTCGTCTGTATCCTGTCTACGTCTGTATCCTGTCTACTTACCACAATTAGTGAACATAGCTTTAGTAAGCTCTCTGTTCCGAGTCAGGTCCTTGTATGTTCCCGAAGAAGGTTAGAAGGAACATTGAACCTGATAGTGGCGCCCAACGAAGAAGAATAACCATGGCCGAGTTTCAAGAAGAACCTGTGCTGCCTGCAGAAACGGCTCAGAATCCAGAAATGCCAGCTGCCGCCCTGGAAGGATTCGGTTACATCGTCCAGACCATGCGCGCTTCGATGAAACCAGAAGCAACATTTAACGGAAACTCACCGGTAACCAGTTTTTTTTGGAAAAATTGGATGACCACTTCATGCTCTACTACCCCGTGCACGAGTTTCAAAAAGTTACCTTAGCTACCAGCGCTTTGAGGGGGCCAAGCGCTTAACTGGTTCAAATGTATCGGCAGAAGTCTCTTGGGTCAAGCAGGAAGTCCCACCTATACTTACGAAAATTTCAAGACTGCCCTACTAAAAGCCTTCCCTGTTGTAAGGGATCGTGCGAAATTAGAAACGGAACTTTTCAGTATATATCAACAAAGAATCGAAAACCTCTCGAGCTTTATTTTAAGAAAAATTCACGTTTTCAAGCTCTTGTATGGAAACCGTCCGGATCCTGAAATAATTCAAGTGATTTTGCCGAGGTTACTGCCCCAAGTGCAAGACTTTATTGAATTAAGAAATCCGACTACACTGGAAAAGTTATTTGAGCTAGCAATCCAGTTTGAAAGTAGAAGAACGGCGGACGTCGAAAGAAGACGCCAATATCAACAGCGAAACCAATTTGGTACGCCAAGACTACAGCAAACTCAAGCACACGGCTACGGAGAAAAAGCGAATCAGTGGGCAAGGAAACCCGAGCATTCAAAAACAGCCGGCGAACGTCGACAGTTCAATAGCAACCCAGGAAAAAAGTCTCAAGGCCAGTGGAGGAAAAAGAAGGAAAGCACGGAAAGGAAAAATAATTTAAACTAAAACGGATTTCTGCTGACGAGAGGGTGCGGAAATCCGAAGGCCCACGAAAACCCCTCTTCCTACAAGTTAAATACAGTAATGGTGAAAAATTTGACTCTTCCGAAGATTGAAGTCTTGGTGAATAATATCCCGGCCACCGCACTCCTGGATACCGGCGCGCAGTGTTCCTGTGTGGCAGAAGTCTTTTTTAGAAAGTATTTTCGCAAATACCGCATATATAATGCGGATAATACGACAGTATTAGCGGCGCAAGGAGGAGAACAATGTAAGTGCGTAGGTAAAGTACCTTTGTATATCCGTATCAAGGACGAACAAGTAAAGGTGATGTTTTTTATAGTAAAGAATTTGCAAGCACATTTAATCTTAGGAATAGACTTTCTTTCAGACGCACAAGCTACACTGGATTTTAATGAAGCGTCCCTTAAGCTGACAATGATGAAACCAGTGCGTGTAGAAAAGGTTGAACCGCCAAGGTTAAATCTTGACCACCTGCCTAATGACGAGCAAGAAGAATCCGACAAGTGGTAAGTGAATTTGCTTCGTTATTTAGTGATATTCCAGGATTTACTCAGGTTACTAACCATAGTATTGACACCGGAGATGCATTGCCAGTTCGTCAAAAACCATACCGGTATGATAAGAATAAGGAAAAAATTATAGAATGGCATATTACCGATATGCTACGTAAAAAGATCATAACGCCCATCTCAAGTAGTTATGCTAGCCCGGTGGTTTTATGTAAGAAAAATAATGATTATCCTTTGGAGCATCCAAAAAGGTGGAGATTCGCTATTGATTACCGTAAATTAAATTCCATAACGAAATATCCGGTATATCCGTTACCGATCATAGAAGAAATTTTAAGGAACATAAAATCAACCAAATTTATGACGACTTTAGACTTAACGACTGGTTATTTTCAAATAGGGGTGAGGCCTGAGGACGTGCCTAAGACTGCTTTTATAACCAAGTCTGGCACTTATGCATTTTTGCGTATGCCGTTTGGCCTTTCAGGGGCCCCGGCAACATTTCAGCGATGCATGGACATTGTGTTAAGACCTGTTCTTGGAAAGTCCACATTTATCTATTTAGACGATATCATTATTACTAGTGATAATCTCGACCAACATGTACAGGATTTAAGACAGGTGTTTTCTTTATTAAATGAGGCCGGTCTAAAAGTTAATGTCGAAAAGTGCAAATTTGCAGCCCCTGAATTAAAATATTTAGGTTACAAAATATCGCAAAAAGGGATCGAGACAGATGAATCAAAAATAATCGCTGTACAAAAGTATCCGACTCCAAACACGGCAAAGAAGCTCTCTTCTTTTCTAGGACTTTGTTCATATTATAGGTCCTTTATAAAAGATTTTGCGGCTATCGCTGAGCCATTGTTAAAATTAAAAAGGAAAAAGGCAAGATTCTCGTGGACGGCCGAAGCCAATAGTGCTTTCGAAAAATTAAAACAAGCATTAACGCAAGCCCCTGTGTTGAAATTTCCTGAAAAGGATGAAAATTTAGAAATTTCAGCGGATGCTTCGGATTATGCGGTAGGAGCGGTACTTTCGCAAAATCAGCAGCCCGTGGCATTTTTTAGCCGAACTTTAAATCAAACACAAAGAAACTATTCCGCGACCGAGAGAGAGGCACTTGCAGTTCTGTTAGCAGTGCAAAAGTTCCGAGTCTATTTTGGAAAGGCGCCGATAACAGTATACTCTGATCATGCGGCGGTAACTAGATTGTACTCAGGGAAAAATTTATCCCCAAGGTTAATAAGATGGGCACTCAAGCTGCAAGAATATAATCTGGTAATCAAGCATACCCCCGGAAAGGAAAATATCGTAGCAGATGCCCTATCACGAATTAAATTAGACGAACAGGGTAATACCGTAAAAGTTGCAATGCTGACAGCGTGTACAATAAATTCCCGAGAAACTGTAATAACCGAACTGGGTAAGGATCCTGAGTTTGGAAGTATTTATGAGTATTTGAAGGATCCTGAAAATTTTAGCCACCAAGATATTGTGGCGATAAGAAATAGGGCGGCCCATTACGAACTAATAGATGGTCTATTATTTTATACAAAAACTACGAATTCCAACAACGAATTTCGACCTGTTATCCCAGCTAGTCTTAGATTAAATATCCTGCAGGAGCTCCATGACAGCCCTTTAGCTTCTCATGCTGGTATTCGAAAAACTATCCAACGCGTACGCGAGGCAGTCTACTTTCCTGAACTGCAAAAGTTAACAAGGGCGTATGTCCAGTCCTGCCCAACATGTCAAGCCGTTAATTATATTAATTTCCGCCCGGCCGGGTTTCTAAATAGTATTAAATCCGAATTTCCAAATGAAATAATTGGCATCGATTTATTGGGCCCTTTCCCAAAAAGTCAGTTAAATAAAAGTCGCTATCTCCTTGTTATGGTTGATCATTTTAGTAAATGGACCGAAATTGTTCCCTTAAAACGAGCCTCCGCGAAATTAGTTACCGATTCTATTTTAAATAAATATATTTTAAAATACGGGGCGCCCCTAAAAGTTATATCGGATAATGGTCCTCAATTTGTAAGTAATATATTTGAAGACATGTGCCAAAAACTGGGCATACGTCATTTAAAAATGGTCCCGTATCGGCCGCAATCAAATATAGCGGAACGGGTCAACAGAAATATAGTGAAAATTATCCGTAGTTATGTTAAAAATTTTCATAAAAGCTGGGATAACTATGTCAATGAATTTGCTTTCGCCCTTAGGACCGCAAAACATGATACAACGGGCAAAACTCCTGCTGAGTTATTTCTAGGCAGAAAGATTATAACACCGTTAGATAAATTATTTTATGTGCAACAAAGAGCCCCAGAATTTAAAATGGGTGATATAGAAAAACTAATAAAAGAAGCAAAAAAGAATACGGAAGTAGCACAAAGAAAACAGAAAGCTCTATTATGATTTGAAACGACG